AGTAGGTCGATCGAAAGCCAGGCCTACGTGGAACAGGGCAGAAGCCTAGACTACAGCTGGCACGCGCGGAAAAGAAGCGACACAGGGGAGAGACGAGGAGACGACGAGACGAGCGACGAAAGAGGAGAGCATGAGACAAAGGCAGAGCCGCTCAGCGGCACGGGATCGAGCCCAGGACCACCAGGAGCACGTCGTTCACAAGGTACAAGTCCCGCGCCAGGAGCCAGTGTGTGCCCTGCCCCCTGCGCACACAGAAAGAAGCCAATCGTCGAGCGTCGTGAGCCCGCCAGAAACGAGCATGGACTACTTGGCATGGAGTGCCACGACCATAAACCAGCGGCCAGGTGCCAAACGAGGCACGCGCCAACGAGGCTGGTGGGGATACTTGTTTGATCTGCGGCCCGCAAGGAAGAGTCCAGAGGGCGTGTCAATCGGGCTGACTGGGGCACAGAGCCAGATAATTTGCGAACCCAGCTGTCACTGTCGACAGCCGACCGCACATGCAAGCATGCAGAACAAGTTGGGGAAAACGGGCAGACGAAGGCACCAAGCCAAAGAGATGCAGAGCGGCCACTGTCGAGAGCCGGCCGCACGTGGCGACGCACGTGGCGCCAGCACCCGAAAGCCGGGCGATGAGCAGGGCGACGGGAAGAAGGGGAGAGGAGGGGAAAAGAAAGATGCCTCACTCACGGAGCACCAAGTGCTCGAAGGCGACTGGTGGGGATACGCGAAGCGTGAAGAAAAAATGCACACAAATCCCAGGATTCACCATATTTTCCTATATTTCCTGGGTTTTCGTCTTCCCCCCACTTCCCATATCTTCCCAGAATTCCCTGGGAGTCGACGATTCCTTGCGTCTGTTGGTGCGTTTTCCCTCCCGATCCGGATCGTTGGGGTGTCTCGGGCGCATTGCCTGTTTCTGGCCCCCGCCTCCTTTTTCTTCCAGAACCCCTTGTGCTCCCCGCGATGCAGAGGGCGCAACACTTGGGCACCCCGCGACGAAGCCGCCAGGGGTGCTGCGCGGGCCCGCTCTCTCGAGCGGCTTGCGTGTGGCTGATCCCGGGCTCCCCCACTTTGAGAGCCCCAAATCGGCGGCGAGCGCAGGGGGGGAAGTGAGCAGGCGAAGACCTTCGCAGAAGGCGGCGGGACCTCTCAGAAGCCCTCGCAAGCCTTCTGAGGAGTCTTCTGTGCCTCTGGGGAAGGTCAGAAAACTTCTCAGAGGCCCCGGGACTTCCGAGCCCTCTGCGAAAGCCCGCCCCTTCGCACTTCCCGGGCAATTCAAGGGGTGCCTATGCCGCTGCTCCACGCAAAGCTCCCAGGGCGCGTTCTGGCCATGATCCCGAGGCGAGTCCAGCGGTGGCGACGGGGGCCTCCCCGGAGGTCGAAAAAAGGGGGATCACGGGCGCCGACCGCAGGCCGCCGCGACATGGCAGATGTAGCATTAGGTCGGGCCTGTCCCCCATACAGGCGGATTTTGGACGAAACCTTAGACATAGTCAAATTACCCTGGCGACGTACCCAAACCATGCGCAATGCGGGGCACTAGTAGCCTGGGACACGTTATGCAAAGGTGATGACGCGACATGGGCGCATATAATTCTGCGAACGGCATTCGCGAGGCTCGCAGCCCCCCAGGGATGGCGAGGTCCGCTCAGATCTGCGTGGCGCCTCACTCCGCTGGCCCCACCAGCAGCCCTCGAACTTGGCGACAGTGTCGCAGATCGCAGCCCCCAGGGACGGCGAGGTCTCGCTCAGATCCCCGCGGTGCCTCAGCCCGCAGGACCCACCAGCAGCCCTCGAAGGTGGCGACTGTTTCGCAGATCGCAGCCCACTAGGGACGGCGAGGTCTCGCTCAGATCCCCGCGGTGCCACAGTCCGCAGGACCCACCAGCAGCCCTCGAAGGTGGCGACAGTGTCGCAGATCGCAGCCCCCCAGGGACGGCGAGGTCTACCTCAGTTCCCCGCGGTGCCTCAGTCCGCAGGACCCACCAGCAGCCCTCGAAGGTGGCGACAGTGTCGCACATCGCAGCCCCCCACGGACGGCGAGGTCTACCTCAGATCCCCGCGGTGCCTGTCCGCAGGACCCAGCCCTCGAACTTGGCGACAGTGTCGCAGATCGCAGCCCACCAGGGACGGCGAGGTCTCGCTCAGATCCCCGCGGTGCCTCAGTCCGCAGGACCCACCAGCAGCCCTCGAAGGTGGCGACAGTGTCGCACCTCGCAGCCCCCCAGGGACGGCGAGGTCTCGCTCAGATCCCCGCGGTGCCTCAGTCCGCGGACCCACCAGCAGCCCTCGAACGTGGCCCAACAAGTGGTCGCAGATCGCAGCCCCCCAGGGACGGCGAGGTCTCGCTCAGATCCCCGCTGTGCCACAGTCCGGCAGGAAAACCCACCAGCAAGACCCTCGAATGTTGGCGACAGTTCGCAAATCGCAGCCCCCCAGGGACGGGGGGGGGGGACCGAGGTCTGCGTGGCAGCCGCGGTGCCTCAGTAATCCCGCAGGACCCACCAGCAGCCCTCGAAGGTGCGACAGTGCCGCAGATCGCAGCCCCCCACTGACGGCGAGGTCTCGCTCAGACCCCGCGGTGCCTCTCGACCGTCCCCGCGGTGCTTCAGTCCGCAGGACCCACCAGCAGCCTTCGAAAGTGGCGACAGTGTCGCAGATCGCAGCCCCCCAGGGACGGCGAGGTCTCGCTCAGATCCCCGCGGTGCCTCAGTCCGCAGGACCCACCAGCAGCCCTCGAACGTGGCGACTGTGTCGCAGATCGCAGCCCCCCAGGAACAGCGAGGTCTCGCTCAGATCCCCGCGGTGCATCAGTCCGCAGGACCCACCAGCAGCCCTCGAAGGTGGCGACAGTGTCGCAGATCGCAGCCCCCCACGGACGGCGAGGTCTCGCTCAGATCCCCGCGGTGCCTCAGTCCGCAGGACCCACCAGCAGCCCTCGAACGTGGCGACAGTGTCGCAGATCGCAGCCCCCCAGGGACGGCGAGGTCTCGCTCAGATCCCCGCGGTGACTCAGTCCGCGGGACCCACCAGCAGCCCTCGAAGGTGGCGACAGTGTCGCACCTCGCAGCCCCCCAGGGACGGCGAGGTCTACCACAGATCCCCGCGGTGCCTCAGTCCGCAGGACCCACCAGCAGCCCTCGAAGGTGGCGACAGTGTCGCAGATCGCAGCCCCCCAGGGACGGCGAAGAGAGGGCTGGAGGAGGCGGGAGGCGGGAGGAGGAGGAGGGACGCGACCACAGTGCTCTATTCAAAACGAATACCCAACCAAGGATGGTTGGGAAAAATACTCAAACCCTGGATCTTTTCCGCTGCGAATGTCTGCGAGAGAATCTGGGCATGAGTGGGCCTGAGTTAGAGAGACTTAGAACGGGTGGGTCTGAGTGTGAGTGAATCCGTGTGTGGTCGAGCTTGAGCGTGACTGAGTCGATGTGTATGAGTCGGAGTATGGCTAAGCACTTGGTAAGTGTATCTGAATGTGAGTGGTATGGGTATTAGAATGTGTGTGTGAGAGAGAATTGTATGAGTGTGAGTGGCATGAGTGTGAGTGTGAGTCTGATTGTGAGTGAGTCCGAGTGTGAGTTTGGACGCACATGTACAACACATAGGGTTCGAGACCAGTATAACGCTTAGGAGTCAAGCCACAGGAGAAAGGCAATCCATAGGCACATACGCAAAATACGCAGGTGGGGTCAGCATGAAAACCTTCTGAGGCCTGGAGCATCCTGGAGCCTTCCGGGGCCTCCTGGGGCCTGCTGGTGCCCTCTGGGGCCTGTAGGGACCTCCTGGGGCCTCCTGGGGCTTACTGGTGCCTCCTGAAGTTTCCTGGTGTTTCCTGGGATTTCCTGGGGCCTCCTGGGCGCCCCTGGGGCCTCCTGGGGCCTCCTGGGGCCTCCTGGGCGCCTGAGACATCCTCGGAAACTGCTGCGAAAGAGAAGGATGTCGGGCACCCAAACAAGCAAACCGCCTGAGACATCCCCCAAATCTGAGCGCGAACGGGCCTGTAATACACCCCCTGGCGCCCCCCCATGGGAGTACTGACACCAGCGCCTCGCCTGAGGCATCCTCAGAAACTGCTGCAAACCGCCCGAGGCATCCTCCCAATCTGGGCGCGAACGGGCCTGTGATATACCCCCTGGCGCACTCCCTTGGGAGTACTTAAACCAGCGCCTCGCCTGAGACATCCTCAGAAACTGCTCCGAAAGAGAAGGATGTTGGGCACCCAAACAGGCAAACCGTCTGAAACATCCCCCAAATCTGGGCGCGAGCGGGCCTGTGCTATACCCCCTGGCGCCCCCCCGTGGGAGTACTGAAAAAACCAGCGCCTCGCCTGAGACACCCTCGGAGACTGCCCCGAAAGAGAAGGATGTTGGGCACCCAAACAGGCAAACCGCCTGCGACATCCCCCCAATCTGGGCGCGAACGGGCCTGTGATATACCCCCTGGCGCCCCCCCTTGGGAGTGCTGAAACCAGCGCCTCGCCTGAGACATGCTCGGAAACTGCCCCAAAAAAGAAAGGTGATTTTTTTTATTTTTGTTGTCCGCTTGCGCGTAAGACCAGACGGGACTGCAAGCTCTTGCTAAAAGGAGCAACTTCCGTGGCCAATACGCAGGTGCTCCACACCGACCGATTGCGAAACACCCAATCAAAATCCCTACAGCTGACGGAATCCGCCGGCTGGCTCAGCCACAAACGGTAGCGAGGGCAGCATCGCCTATTGACACACCACAGCGAACTGGGACCTCTAGGCGACAAGTCGCCCGATGCCCGATGTGTGTGTGTGTGTGTGTGCCCTGACGGCGATAATTATCAGGATTGCTGGGCACGGCTCTGGCAGCCTTGTCGGCTTGCCAAGCGCACGGGCCCAAGCAATGATCACCGCTGCGGTGCGTCATTTGGCGCAGCAGGGCAGCACAGGGTCCTCTGCCATCCTGTCGGGCGTGAGTGGTTTAGAGCGCTTCCTCTTCCGATCCCCTTCTTTCTTGTCCGTGCCCCTCCCTCTCGATCGCCCCGTCAGTCCGGAGCGGTCTGCCGCGCGCGCCCGGCCGCCGCGGCCTTCGGCGCGCGCAGCCTTCCGCGCGCGCCCGGAGCCGCGGCGCGCGCCGCGCCCGATTCCCCCGAGGAGCGCATGCCGTGGCGCTCGCCTCGCAGGGGGGAGGCGCGCCGCCCCGCCGCGAGGGGCGGGCCGGGGCAGCTCGCGTGGCCTGCGAGTTCGTGGCCACCCGAGGATGTGCCTCGAAAAGCAGAGGCGGCCAGTCGCTGGTCGGCCCGTGGCCATCCCACGACGCGCCTCGAAGAAGCAGAGGCGGCCCACCGCTGGCCGCCGAGAGAGCGCACGTGCCATGCTGCTCCTCTCCACTCCCCTGTCGCCTCGCCGGTCGTTCCCCCCCCCCCAATGCCGACGTTTGCGCCGACCCCCGTGTCTCGAGCCCCAATCGGGCGCCGCGCGCGCGCAGGCTGGCCAGCACCGCCTGCGGCGCTGCAGGCGCCCCCCGGCGCTCTGGGCGCTGGCGGCGCCCTGGGCGGGCGCCGGGCCGGGCTCCGCCCAGCTGGGGGCCCGCGCGCGCGCACGGCCGTCCTCGCCCGACGGAGAGGCAGGGAGGAGGCGAGGGACGAGGGGATGCGGGAGGGGACGCGTGCGGCCAGGCGCGGGGAGCGCTCGTCGTTGTGCCCCCTCTGCGCCCGCCGTGCCCATGGGCACCCAAAAAAACACGACGCCCGAGCTCCTCACTGGTCAAGAGCCACAGTGAGGGCCGGTGCTGGTCGCGGCCACGGCATGGGCCGTGGGCGCGCTGCGGCTGCAGCAGGAGGGCACTGGCGCCGTGGCCACTGGTGGGAGGCCGGTTGCGCCATGGCTTGCTGGCCGCGGTTGCGGTCGAGGCCGCTGGCGTCGAGGGCGGGTGAGCCGCCGCCGATGCCAAACAAAAACAAAAAAGCGCACCTGACTCAACGCGCGTGCACCAGACTCAGGGAGGAGGAGGAGGAGGAGGAGGAGGAGGAGGAGGAGGAGGAGGAGGAGGAGAAGGAGGAGGAGGAGGAGGAGGAGGAGGAAGGAGGAGGAGGAGAGAGGAGGGCTGTGATAATTCCCCTCGCACCTCCGCGGCATGAATCGGGCGACGCGCAGGGATGCGCAAAAACAAAAAAAACAAAAATGGTACGACGAACGCCGCAGTGTGGATGTTCTGCTGCTTTCCCGCCACCCCACGCCACCAACGCCCCCCAGTGTCACCTCCTCTGCGCTACCACAACTGGCCGGCCCGACAGCGAATTCATTGGGGTCAGCCTGCCAGGGACGACCACGGGACGTGACATGGACGCGCTAATTAGCTCCGCTCGAGTGCGAACTGTCGAACAGCGAGGCTTAAAAACCAAAGTGTTTCGCCATAGCTTCATCGCTGAGGCAGATGAGAAGGCGGAGGAGCAAGGGGGGAGCGGGGCGAAGGAAGGGCGTGGAGAAGCACAAGAAGGAAGAAGGAGTGAAGCCCACTAAAATGTCAGACTGGAAAAAATATTCCAGCCTCCCTCGCGTTGCTGGGGAAAGGGTGGCACTTCGGAATTTGTCCAAAGTAGAGCATGCACAGTGATTAACAAACAGCTAGCACATCTCTGTGACAACAATTAAAACCTCTGTAGAGAGATAACTGAAAAAGCGAGGTACGAGTGATGACGTTCTGTTGTGGGCGAAGCCCTAAAAGGAGGGGTTCCAGGGGAGGGGGGTAGCGTGCCCATATGGGTGTGAATGGCCGTTTTCGGGTTTTCCCTAGGGTTTTTGCATGTTTTTCGGGTTCCCCCCCAAGACGGCCCAAGAGCGCTCCAAGAGAGCCCCAGACCGCCCAAGACAGCCCAAGAGGCCCCCAAGAGGCCCCCAAGAGGCGCCCAAGGGGCGTCCCAAGAGGGCCCCAAGAGGCCGAAATCATCGATTCTGCAAGGGAAAACGTATATTTTTAGCATATGCGCTTTGTCGGCTTTCACGGCGTTGACGACGGCCCAAGAGGCCCCCAAGACCGCCCCAAGACGGCCCAAGAGGCTCCCAAGAGGCCCCCAAAACGGCCCAAGAGGGCCTCAAGACGGCCCAAGAGGCGCTCAAGACGGCCCAAGAGAGCGCCAAGACGGCCCCAAGAGGGGGACCACGAACCGAAAAGTCTAGCCTTTCGCCCCAAGACGCTCCCAGGAGGCCCCCAGAGCCCCCCAAGAAGCCCCAAGAGGCCCACAAGAGGGGTCCCAAGAGGCCACCGGGAGGCGAAAATCATTGATCTCCTATGGGAAAAAGTACATTTTTAGCATACAAGGCTTTTCGGCTTTCACTGCGTTGAAGACGCTCCAAGAGGCCCCCAAGACGGCCCAAGAGGCTCCCAAAAGGCCCCCAAAACGGCCCAAGAGGGCGCCAAGACGGCCCAAGAGGCGCCCAAGACGGCCCAAGAGGGCCCCAAGACGGCCCCAAGAGGGGGACCACGAACCGAAAAGTCTAACCTTTCGCCCCAAGAAGCTCCCAGGAGGCCCCCAGAGCCCCCCAAGAAGCCCCAAGAGGCCCCCAACAGGTTCCCAAGAGGCCTCCAAAAGGGCCCGACAAGGGCCCCAATAGGACTCCCAAGAAGGCCCAGAGACGCCAAATAGAGAGCGATCGGTAACGCAAAAAGCTCTTCACACCAAGGCTCCCAAGAGCGAACGGTGACGTAAACAAGCTGATAAGACCAAGGCTCCCAGCAGAGAGCGGTGACGTAACAAGTTCCTGACACCAAGGCCCAGCCAAGGCTCAGGAACGGGCGGCAACGCAACAATCTATGAACACCAAGGCTCCCAAGAGCGAGAGGTGACGTAACAAGCTCTCAACGCCAAAGCTCCCAGTACGAACGGTGGTGTGAGTAATTTCGGTGTCTGTTTCTGAAGTGCTCTTTCCGTTTCTGTGCCGGCCCAGGTCTAATGGGGGCGCCTGCCTGATAGGCCGTCCTGGCCCTCGCGAGTTCGAGCTAGGAGGGGTAACAATCTCTTCCCCCTCCCCACTTCCCTGCCTCCCCCCCAGCCTCGAGGCCCGCCAACTCTACTGCGCTGCGCCCTCAATGTCAAAGGAAGGCCAAATAACTTATTACCCCAAGAACGACCACCGTGGGTCATGGGAATCGTGTCTCCGGCCACTCGGAACAACTTAGCACGGCAACCCCGCGGCGCCAGGCGTGGGGCGCCCCGCCTTGGAGGACCCACTCTGGCGCGCCGCGGGCGGCGCCCCGCGATCGGGAGCCCCCTGTGGCGGCCCCCGCCGCGCGCCTCAGACGGCGTTGGCGGCGACGCGGTGCGGCGGCAGCGGCGGAGACGTCGAGTTGCGCCGCCTCCAGATCATCGAGTTGACCATGGAGGGCACCTGGCACGAGCCCGATCCGACATTGGGCGTGGCGCTGCGCCGGATGCGCCGGCGCTCCGCGGACTCCTGGAAGGCATTCTTGAACGTGCTGCCGTCGCCATCCTGGTCTGGATCCTGCGGCGCCAGCGCATGCACCGACGGCAGCCCCGGCCAGCCCTCCCCCCACGGGGAGGCCCGCCGCGAGCCCCGGCAGCTCTGCCGCTCGGAGGCCAGCCGGACGCGCACGGCGTCGGCGGGGCCCGCGTCCTCCGCCGCGGCCTGGGGCTCCGCCGTCGCCTGCTCACCTGAGACCTGCTCGTACCGGTACAGGTGCACCTCCGAGCTGAAGCACACGCGACGAGATGCCCCCGAGCACGAGGTGCCTTTCGAAGCATTGCTCGAGCACTCGTACATCTCCGACAGTACTGGGCAGGCCAGGCTGCAGGCGCGCGTCATGGTGCCTTCCCCCCGTGACAAAGGCAGAGGGCCTTAAAATGGCTACGGACTCCGAAAGAAAAGGATTGTTGGGCACCCAAGCAGGCAAACCGCCCGAGACATCCCCCCAATCTGGGCGCGAACGGGCCTGTGCTATACCCCCTGGCGGCCCCCCCTTTGGAGTACTGAAACCAGCGCCTCGCCTGAGACATCCTCGGAAACTGCTCCGAAAGAGAAGGATGTTGGGCACCCAAACAGGCAAACCGCCTGAAACATCCCCCCAATCTGGGCGCAAACGGGCCTGTGCTATACCCTCTGGCGCCCCCCCTTTGGGAGTACTGAAACCAGCGCCTCATCTGAGACATCCTCACAACGTGTGTGAGTCTGAGCGCGGGAGCGCCAGGAGTGTGAGTGAGTCTGCATATGAGTGATCCCGAGCATGAGAAACCTGAGTATCAGGAATCCAGGGGCCAGTGCATCTGAGTACGAGTGAGTCTGAATACGAGTGAGGTCTACATGTGAGAAAGTCAGAGAATGATGACCTGAAGGTGGGAGGTGTGAGGGTGAGGTGTTCAGAGCGGTCTAAGTAATAACAAGATCTCCATCCTTAGGAGATGGGGGGGGAAATACAAATAATCGTGCCCATACAATCTTTAAAATACCCTACAAACTCAAAAAAATGTCAAATATAGTTTTTGCTTTATGAATAAAATACAGCATGTTAAGAAATGATATACTTTGGTATAACGCAGTATAATATATTCTAATGTAATACAACACCGCAAAATATAATATTGCATACACTTTAATAAAAAAATACCATACAGTATAAAATAGCATAACACCATGTAACACTCTATGATTTACTCAAGTAGAATATAATACAACAGAACATAATTCAATACATTAGAATAGCATAGAATATCATACAATATAATACCATGTAAAGTTATACTATACTATAATATAACATGACATACTATAATATAATACTCATATAATACAATATAACATAATATAGCACAATACATCATACTATAATAGAATGTGTCACATTCTGATACACTAGGATATAATATAATATAGTATGATATAACGCAATGCAATATACCATAATATACTATGATGTAATGCCATATAATATAATTTAAAATGCTAGGACATGATTCAACATAATATGATATACTACAAAACAATGCAATAACAAATGATACAATATTCATGAGATAATATAATACAATATCATGTCATATAATATGATATAATATAATATAAGTGTAATATAATACGACAGCTTATAATTTCATGGCATTGTATATAGTACCATGTAACAAAATATCATAGACTACCATATTACATTAATGGTATAATATGATATAATGTGATAGAGCAGAATAGAGTAGGATATAATAGACTGTAATAGAACGGAATGGAATACCTTACATTATAATTCAATATAATACACTATGATATAATATGGTATGTTATACTATAATACAAAATAACCTAATGTATACCATATGAGTATGTATAACAAAACCCTGACTAATTGCTACTATCTCTGAGCATTCCTCCTGTAGAGGGACAGGCCCGCCTTAGGTGTAGCTCTCGAGCGTCACAGGGTGCAGCCGCCACGGGGCATGGAGCCACTCGCCCGTCCACGGCCAGAGAGCACAGCGAGCGGCTCGAGCAAAGGAGCGCTTGCTCCGACCCAGGGGGGGGGTCTCAGGGGGGAGTCCTCCTCCTCCTCATCCTCCGTCTCCGCCTCCTCCTCGTCCTCCTCCTTCTCCTCCTCCTCCTCCTCCTCCTCCTCCTCCTCCTCCTCTCCTCCTCCTCCTCCTCCTCCTCCTTATTTCCGACTCCTCCTCCTCCTCCTCCTCCTCCTCCTCCTCCTCCTCCTCCTCCTCCTCCTATCTCCGCCTCCTCCTCCTCCTCCTCCTCCTCCTCCTCCTCCTCCTCCTCCTCCTCCTCCTCCTCCCCCTCCTGGTCGTCGTCGATGTCTTTCAGGGTCGGCGGCACGGGCCGTCAGGCCTTCACAATACATAGACAGAAACCCCAGGAGCCCCCGTAGTTTCCATATTGCCTGGATGGTCGTCTTCCCTTCCATTGCCCATGGCTTCCATCTTCTCCTGGAAATCGATGATTGCGTGTGTGTGGTTATTCCCCTCCTGAGCGAGGGCGGGCGAGGGGAGGAAAGTGTTGAGAGGGACGAGGGGCGAGCGAGGGGAGGGCGACACGGCGAGAGGAGGACGGGCAAGGAGGGAGGATGCGATGGAGGGCGGGGGAGGGGCCAGGGTCGGGAATTGCTAGAAGTGCCCCTGACCCAAGGTGCCCCCATGATTTCCGGGGGAGGCCCCCAAGGCCTCCAGTGCACCCCTCACGAGGCCCAGAGGGCCCCAGGGGCTCCAGAGTGGAGCGAAAATCTGGGGGTACCTGGGGCCAGGGGCACCTTTAGCAACCCCCGACAGGACAGGAGGAGGAGGAGGGGGAGGAGAAGGAGGAGGAGGAGGAGGACGAGTGTAAACCCAAGAGTCACGAACGACGTGGAATAAACCCTCCCCCCAAACTCCCACTTCATAGGCCCCTACAACGGTTCACTTTCACAGAGGGATCTACCTCGTTGGAAGACAACCGTTTGAAGACCCTGAAACACAGGGTGTCTAGAGCTCCGACCGTTTTATTCCGCGTCGCGACGCACACCCACCTCCCCCTCCTCACGCACCACATCACCACCACCCCTCCCCCAATGGGGGGCCCGCCCACTGCCCCCTCCGCCCCGACAACTGTATTCCGCGTCGCGACGCACACCACCTCCCCCACCCCTCCCCCCGCGCCCCCAGCGCCCCCAGCGCCACAGTAGGACCCCCGCACCGTGGCCCTCTGCCCCGAGCCCCCCCGCGTCCCCAGCGCCCCAGTGGAAGCCCCGCCCATTGCCCCCTCCGCCACGAACGCTTTATTCCACGTCGCGACGCACACCACCTCCCCCACCTTCCTCCCCGCGTCCCCAGCGCCCCAGTGGGAGTTCCGCCCCGTGCCCCCTCCGCCCCGACAATTTATTCCGCGTCGCGACGCACGCCACCTCCCCCCTTCCCCCCCCACGTCCCCAACGCCCCAATGGGACCCCCACCCCCCAGTGAGATGTTGTGTGTGTGTGTTGGAGACCCCCCTTTGACTAAGATCAAGTGTAGTATCTGTTCAGAGATGTAAAGCTTAGCAGGCAGTCAATGGCATGTATGTTCGGACTGTAAACCATGCGAATGCTCAAGGATGCGGGTTCGCTAGCTACAAACACTTCAATGTGGTGGCGGAGCTACGGCTCCAATACCAACCCGTACGCGGCCCACGCGCGCGCGGCGCCCCCCGGCAGGCGGCGCCATATTCGGGGAGCAAGTTCCTCGGCCTCGCGCTGCTGCAGCGCGACTCCGTGATCAGCCTCACTGCGGAGATCGGCATCTTCAAGAGTGAGGAAGCAATACTCATTACTTGGCCTGGTGAGACACCAGGCGACGTTTCTCGTGGAAATCGATATCATCATTACTGGCCAAGAAGGCCTCATAGAAGTAGAAATTGGATTTCGTATCTCTTGAGCATATTATTATTGTGCACAGCCATGGCAGATTTCAAGACGCCTCAGACACTACAGGAGTTCATTCGATGTGTACCGCCCGGCTGGAAGCCTTTCGATGACGCCTATCCCTTCAAAGGATATATGCAGAGACTACAATTATGGTGGCGACTGACGCCGCTAGATGAGCGAGAGGCAGGACCGGCAATGGCAGCACGATTGTTGGACAGAGCATTCGCTATTGCGATGAGTTTGGAAGTATCTCGGAATGGAGTTATTGTCAGAGGCGACGCTGCGCTGGCACTCGCACGTCAAGACGAAGAGCGCGACGACAACGGCAACATCACTCAGAAGGTCAGCATCAGCGGCGCAGGCCACTTAATGCAGAAGTTGACGGAGGCATTCGAGATTCATGATCAGGACCGACAGGGAGAACATCTTGACAAGTTTCTAGACACGCGACGTGGTAATCAGTCTCTACAGGAGTTGTTGCTGAATTTTCGTGAAAGATATCAAGAGGCAAACGACAAAGCAGGCCTCACCATCAGCAATGTTGGATTGACTCACATGTTGTTCAAATTGTGTGGTCTGCCTCAAAAACGTATCAGTGATATTGAATTGCATATCGACGGAGATCTTGATCAGTTTCAGACTGTGCATTCGATGCTGACGAGGATCGCAAAACAAGAGGTGGCAACAGGAAGTTCACATCATCACCATCATGCAGACGACGAAGAAGCTATGCATTACGTTCTCGCGTACTACCAGGACTACGACGATGACGGCGAAGAGCTGATAGATTGAACACATGATGAGGAGAGCGGTTTACATTACAGAGAGTACTGGACGGAATCTGGAGAGAAATCATACGGATCATACGGCGACGACGGTGTCTGGTACGAGTCCAGCGAGATCGAAGCTTGGTTGACAGAGATGGATTTGGATCAGGCCTATCAGATGTCAAGCTTTCGTCCACGTTTTCGTTTCGGAGGTTATCGACGTAAAGGCAAAGGGCGAAGCGGTAAAGGCAAGACACACGGACGCGGCAAGTCACGAGGACGTGCGTTCGGACGAAGCAAAAGACGATGGAACAGCAGACAGTCGCATTATGAGGAGCCAACTGACGCAACTCACCGGGGCGACAAAGGAGGCAAGAGCAGAAAAGGCAAGCACGGCAGCTCTGGTGGCAGCAGCGGCGGCAAAGGTAGCGGATGTAATACTTGTGGATCAGAGTGGCACAGCGCACAGGACTGCCCAGTCAATCGAGATCGACCTCAAGCACCTCAGACGTCACAGGCCTCTCAACAGGGCGGACATGGCTTCGCGACCTCTTTCCACTCGGGCAGTGCTGTTGGCAACGACCCGAGGATCAATCTTCACGCGTACGAGGACCTGCCAGTGAAGCGGACACCGTCAGCACCGTCAATATCATCGAATTGCAGATCGTGGGACATGCCGCCGTCACCATATGCTGCGGACTCTGTCGAGGACCCATCTGTGTATCACGACTGTCCCGAATACTTCATTGGCACTGACGGAGACGACGATGACTATTGCGACGAACGCCCTGAGGACCAAGCATATGATAGATATCACCAGG